CGTGTAAGGGTCACTTTGTTTATGGTTTGGTTTGGTTTGTTTTTCTCCACGTGTGTCTCGACTTCTAGTGTTAATGGCTGTTAGCAGACATGTAACAATACGATGGCTTTGCTACTGGTAAGCAGCTCTGAGAGGCCTCTTGTGAACAGGGACAACCAGAAAGGCAAGAGAAGCTGCATAATGCAGAAAATCTAGTTGTATTTACTAGCGAAGTGTAGATGTCCCATTGCCAGGTCGTGTTGGTATAATGTACAGCAGCCCTGCACGATGCATTGTCAGGGCCTGTCGCTTCAGTCTGTCACTAGGTGCTGAATCCCCTGCTTTGTTGTTACTACCGTGTTTTTTCATTCTTCACCCTTGCTTGCCTTCATTGATTGATCTGGGGAAATGGTGTTAATGAAAATGTAACCTTTCAGAAAGGGGCAGCAAAAATGCTTGCACTGAAAGCTTTATGATGGGGGCACTGGGTTATGTAGGTGAAGTGACTGAGATCTTTGTGACCTGAGCTGTGTAGTCCAGTTGCATGGTGGTCCTGATCCACATCTGAAGGATGAGGGTGGGCATTTGCTGCCATTGGTGATGTGGCCAAGCAGACAGTAAAGTTCTATCTGTAAGAATTGCTGTAGTAGATGGGGGATGTGTGCAGAGACTTAACTGTGTGCCATTCAGATTATGCAAGGATGGTATGTATGATATTTACAGTTGGATTAGATGATCTTAAAGGTAATTTCCAACATAAATGATTCTGTGATATGGAGAACAGACAGTAAAGAGCAAGATCATAAGGACTGGAGGAGGATGCTGGCTTTTTTGGAAGGGATAGCTTCTGCTCCAGTTGGCAATCCATGTAACAGTATAAATTGTCCAGTGCTCCAGTAAATAGTATTCTGAGTGGTCTCACAATAAATCCAATTTTTAGTATAACTGGTAAGTTTGATGGTTAGCTAAACATTCTAGTTTCAAAGTGGGATATTGAAAAAAATGTAAAGCATAATTCCAGCTTCTGGAATGTATATAAGAATAATTTACCTACTCATGTTTTTCAGTAATGTTAACTAGAGGACTTAACGGTGTAACTGTGTGACAAAAGCCACTTCTAGGTACTGTGTAGATGCAGTTGCTAAGTGTCCTTGTAAAGATACCTACCCTGTGACATAGGTAAGCAAAAGTTAATAATGTAAAAATTAAGCTAAAAACTATTAGCAGAACAATTACTATGTTGTCTAACTGAAAACAAATCTCTTCTGTTTCAGATTTTCTTCCCTTTGTATGTGATGGCTGTTCAGGTGTCTTTTGGTAAGTTTTTCTTTAAGATCTCAATGTAGCAGTTGTATAGGCCTAAATGTTATATAAAACATTCTGTGACTTAACTCAGATACATTTAGTTAAAAATAATTATTTCACTGAACTTACTACTTTTTTCCCCAAGTGACTGTTGTGGAGTTTTGAAATCAATGGGAATATATCTGAAATACAGTTAGATTATTTTGGAAGGCATCTAATTTAGACCCTGTTTTGTACTGATTTTTTTTTGGGGGGGTGGGTCGTGGGGGGTGGTATTTTTTTGTGTAGAATAAAAATGAAGTTTCTTTCAAGGTCTCAAATCAGGACCTGCACTTTGTTTTACGCTTCAGATTAGCAGCTGAATGAAATCTGAGGGCAGATTTCACTTTAACATGTTAGAAGCCTTCAAGGGATGTCTGCTGTTGTGGAAGGTGATTCAAAATCCATTAAAACAGGCGAATTCAAGTCTGTTTGAGCTGAATTATTAAGCATGCTGAAGTCCTTATTCTCTTGAAATGGTTTGTGGTCTTGGGGCATAAGTTCCAAGAGCTGAATGTTTTACATACTCAGGAACATGATCTATCCATTCAAGATGTGAAATACATAGGTTAGTACAAATTTTTGGAAATGATTCATTAGTTAATGGAAGTGTTCCCATGATAAAATTTGCCAGATCAGTCCTTGAACACTTAAATGTTTTCTTACGCAGTTTCGTTTCCTGAAATGTTGATATCTGTGATGTTTTCTTTTTTTGCCCCAAAGCCTTCAGCACAGGAGCCGGGATGCTCATGGGTGTTCTGAGGTAATCTAATGATATATGACCAACTTATAATTAAAATTCCATGCAACTTAACTGTCTGTTTTCAGAGTAGGTATATACACATAGTATATGAATTGTTTAACTGAGACTGTGTCAAGCTTAAAAAAATGAACCTACTCTTTTTCTGCGTGTCAGAAGTAAATTGAGTTTGAGTAGAATGATGGCTCTTTTTCTGATTCTGAGCCAAACTTAACCAGGACAAAAGTGGGAGAGAATCATGGGACTGGTTTTGCCCCTAGGTTGGAGAGCTAGCACAGTTCTTTTGGAAAGCTGGGATGTTAACTTGTATCTGTAATATCTATTTATTTATACAAAATATTTTGTACTAATGCCTAGGTGAATATAAGAAACAATTCTGTGAAACCAGATCAGCACAGATCTTACCCATGCTCATACAAGGACTGCAATGGAAAGGAGCTTTTGCCAGTTTTATGTCCCTACTGTGAGAAACATTTTTGTCTAAAGTGAGTGGAACAAGTGTTTAAACACCAATACTCATTCATTAGTCTATGGAAAAGGTAATAAAAGTTTTACACTGTTGTTTACAGACACCGGCATCAATCAGACCATGAATGTGAGAAACTGGACACACCAAAACCTCGAATGGCTGCCACCCAGCAGCTAGTTCAACATATTATAGGCAAGTACAGTGGGATATTTATTCTACAGTTTTCTTCAGAAGGCTGTTTGAGCTTGTGACCTCCTCCAAGGGTTTAGGTTTATCCAAGTAAGAAGAAACAATGGAGTTCCTTTTAAAAATAGCCCTAAACTCACACGTCAGCATGTAATACTCTTCATCTAATACATCTTCTTTATTAATGTTTATACATTTGTAAAGGGCGAGTGTCAGGAGGAAGGAGCCAGGCTCTTCTCAGTGACAGCCAATGACAGGACAAGGGGCAATGGGAGCAAGCTGGAGCATAGGAGGTTCAATCTGAATGTGAGGAAAAACTTTTTCACTGTGAGGGTTACAGAGCACTGGAACAGGCTGCCCAGAGAGGTTGTGGAGTCTCCTTCTCTGGAGACATTCAAAACCCCCCTGGACACGTTCCTGTGTGACCTAGTCTAGGTGATTCTGCTGTTGCAGAGGGGTTGGACTGGATGATCTTTCAAGGTCCCTTCAAACTCCTAACATTCTGTGATTCTGTGATCTAGACTTAGACAAGACAACAGTAGTATATGTCTCTAAAGAGAATCTTTAAAGATTAAACAGGGCTCAGGTTTCTTTCAGAACTATGGTCTTGTTCTCATTCTACAAATACTATAATGTAATGAATTGTACCTAGCTATTATTATTTGCACATTAATTCATGTGCAGATAATGCAGTTGTATTGCAATTAGTGCACATGCCAATGTGCTGGGATTCTGCCTACACAACCAAGAGGGCAAAAAAATGTGAGTCTCCAATGTAATGTTTTGCAGCTTTTAAACAAGCTCTAGGACAGGACAGAGAATAAGCCACACTGTCTAGCTGGACAGTAGAGTTGCGTGTAGAAAGGAGGACCTGAAACTGTTGCCATACGAATGCTGTGATGGCCACAGGTGGAGAAACTTGGGAATTTGTATCTATTTGGGTTTTGCAACCTGTATTTACCTCGCGATAGTGCCTATCTACTTTTGAGTGTAAATGAGTTCTGTTAGGACTGTAAGAATTCCATATATTCTTGAATATGAATACCTGATACAGCCTCAGGAGGATGTGAAAGGGACATGAAAGGAATGGGAACCTTGGAGATATAATAAGCCAAACAGGCTAATTCCAAGATATGTTCAGGAAATGGTCTGAATCATCACTAACGGGAATACTTTTGTTTCCAGATTCTAAAAAAAGTGAGGAAGGAAAAAGCAAAAAACGTAAAGGAGCCAAAAACAGTGAGACAGCAGCAAAAGTGGCATTAATGAAACTGAAAATGCATGCATGTGGGGACACATCCTTGCCTCAGGTCAGTCATGTTTGTTTTCAGTAATTGAATTCTCAAAGGAAATGGAAAGTTTCCTAAATTTCTTGTTCTTCATTTGGTCCCTTCAGTTTGCTTTTTGATTAAAAAAAAACCAAGACAAGTACCTGTCTGTTGTGGTGGCAGACTTTTATAAGTGTGCCACAGAGCAGAACCATCCGGATGCTAGAATGGTAAGCCACTGTTTTGGTGCCCTAAAATTTTTAGGGAAACATTCCTCATGCCATTGATGAGCCTCTTTTTCATCGTCAGGATGATCAAATTTAAGGAGGTGAGTTTGGCTTGTTCAAGTGGTGTGAAAAGGGTTGGTGTATATACCGTCAGAATGTCATTAGTTCTTAAGCCGCCATTACTCTGTAGAATGCAGAATTAGGACCAGTGAGATTATAGTAACTTTGGCAAAATGTGCCATTAACAGTCCACGTGACATTCCAGGGTGGTGAAATATTTAAAACAGTATTATTTGTAATCACTGATTTTTTTACAGATCCATGTGGTTCTTAAATTGGCTTAAATTGGCTTCATTGGTTTGATTATAGCATATCAGCTGAAACTGAGTTTGTGTCCGATTGTAGAGCAGGGTATAATCATAATTTCTTGTTTTTTACACCTAGGTTGCATTTGTATGGTGAGCATTACAGTACACCATGGGGTCTTATAGTAACAACGTGCCTTAAGAGGTTGAGTTTGATAATTTGGAGAGTTGAGGAGTGACTATGCCAACTTAGGTTGATACCAAGGTATTTAAGGAGCAGATTCAGCTACCCACCCAGAATTAGTATTTGAAGATTGAAGGTGATGTAAACAATACCAAGAGTTTGATTCATTACCCATTTGAGAAAGGATGTTTATGAACTGAATGACATGATTATCATCCCATTCTTGAAACAGGGAGGAAGAGAGTACAAATAAGGGTAAGTACAATACAGAGGGTGTTGTGATCATCTTTTTACAGTTGAGGTTTCCATGAAGGTAAACTGATGATTCCTTGGCCGCACTCCAGGTTTGTTCAGGCCAAAGAATCAGTTCAAGTGTAGTTCATTACCAGAAGCAGTAAGAAATTACTCAGTCTTGGGAATTATCCAAGCCTCAGTGAAAGTTCAAGGGAGTTCCCATTTAGAAACAGATTTTCATACGCCCTTCTCTCTGGGAGTTAGGAAAGTGACACATTTTAACCATGACTGTGGGTAGTTAATAAGAACAGTGTCACCCTGAGAAAAATGACAAGATGACAGTGGGATTTTAGATGTTCTATGGTTTGGAGAGCAGGAAAAAGAACTTGTTCCACTGGGCATCTGGTGGGTGTCTGCCAGCTATTTAAGTGTCAAACAGCTTTAGATAGGGCTTTGCCCTAGAGCTCATTTTAGTAGACCATTCCACTTCTTGACTGTGCCATTACTTTGGGGTCTGTAAAGCAGGTGGAACACCCAGGCAACTCTGTGATGTTCACATCATTTCTGGATTTTTTTTAATATATTTTTTTTTTAATGTGTGCCATTGTCAGACTGCACAGCAGAGGGCATGGGAGAGTCAGCAAACCGTGAAGTCCTGCCACAGCAGTAAAGCCGACTATCAGCTTTCTGGCAAGCAAAAACTTTCCTAAAGCCCAATATTCTTTCAGATCCAGTAAGGATATAACACTACCCCTCACATGTTTGAGGGAGAGGTCAAACATAATCAGTTTGCCAAATGAAATGGGGGACTTTTTTCCTACCCCCTATCCATTTGGTCCTAGCTGTGGGACTCTGGCAAAAGATGTTCTTTCGTCATACACGTGCCTGCAGCTGGAGGGGATTGGACTTGATGATCTCAAATCATTTATATTCTGCAGTAAAATGGGACCTCAGTCCTGATGAAATAGAACAAGTTTCAGTTGGTAATTTTTACATTGAAGTTTAAGTTTTTACTGAAAAACTATTAGATGTGTATGACTGGAATTACGTGTTTCTTCTGTGAATAATTTTTTGTTTATTTTTCATGTTTTTCTAGACAGAAAGAATTTACTTTCAAGTATTTTTACCAAAAGGGAACAAAGAGAAAAGCAAGCCAATGTTCTTCTGCAGTAAGTGGAGTATTGGCAAAGTAGTAGATTTTGCAGCTTCCTTAGCAAGCCTTAAAAATGACAACAACAAATCAACATCCCAGGTAAATCCATAATTAATAACAAATATTTTCCAGGTCGTTGGGTTTTGATTTTGGTGGAATTTTTTTGTTTTTTGTTTTGTTCGTTTTTTACCCTTCTGTCCTTCCTCCACCCCATTTCTTGCATCTCAGATAGGCAAATCTGGATGTTAATTTCTGTGCTATTTGTTTTACAGAAATTGAGATTATGCCATACTGCCTCTGGAGAAGCCTTGCCATTTGAGCACACATTGGAAACATGGCTGTCTGATAAAGACTATGCGTTGTACAATGGTGGAAATATAATTCTGGAGTATCTTGACAATGATGTTCTATATATAGAAGATACAGAGTCGTACTTCAGTTAATCAGTAAATTATCAACAAAAAATTAAATGTTTTTTTTGAAGTGTGGTATTCAAACCAAGATCAGTTTTCTTTTAAAATCACTGGTATGGCAGAATCTGCCCTCGGTTGTAAAGACACCGTTCCCATCAGTTTCTCAGTTGCTTGAAGAACTGACAGAAGAACTATGTCCTGGAAGGCAAATTAGTTATTTTAATAACTAATATTACAAATATTCACTTTCTAGAGTAAATTCTTGCTTTATTTAGTTGTATGTCAATAATGTTTTCTTAAATTTTATATTTGTGTAAATGATGGGAAAATTATGTATTAAAATAAAATTTTAAAAATGAAAATGTAAACTTGCAGTTTATCAGTTCTCTGAAGGAAAGAAACACATCACATTATTGCAGCATCTTTTCTACCTCTATGAGAACAGATGTCTGTCTTGTGTTTGTAAATCTCAGCATCATTGTGTGATTAGGTGGGGGATAAAAAATAATCTGAAATTATCCTTTTCTAATTCCTGTGTAAAAGGGAAAGAAATACTGTAAGAAAGGAAGAAATGCAGTTCAACTAAAAGCATAGCATTCAACAGCTAGCCATTTCATCTTGGCACTTCCAACCTTAGATTAATCTTTACTGTTTCCTCCTCAGCAGTCTGCAGTGTGACTCACCTTTCAGCAAGTTTGAATAGAGAAGAGCTGCCTCTCTCTTTTCAGACATGGGGCACTTTCTTTCAGGCAACTATCTTCATGCGCTGTCCTCATGTTCACAAGGATGTTCGAGGCTGTACATGCACCATGACTGAATGTACTCAGTAATGCCTGGAGGTGTAACTGGGCCACAGGGAGGCTGAATGTCTACGTTGTTCAAAAATGTCAATATGATGTATTTTAGGGACATTGTCCTGCCATTGCAGGACACATGTATAAGTGGGGAGAAAGTCCTTTCCTCCGCAATTCTCTGTTCACCTTTCTTTGCATCTTAGGCTGCTGTGGTAAGTAATATGCAGTAAGAGACCAACCATCATTGTGGGACAAGTGAGTCAGGAAAAAGCCCCAAATTGAACTTGCCCCCCTGCTGTTGTTACCAAAGCATGTGGAAAATGCTGCTACAGATCAGGGTAACTTTTTTTTTTTCAGCAAAAAATCCTCTTTCTCTCCTCACCCCCTTCTTCCTGCCCTTCATTTTTCTGCCCTAGCAGTTGCAGACAAAATAATTAATATTTGTTGTGGATAGAGAGAAGATGGATTTGGGATGCAGGAGGTAAATCTTTGGGAAGATACCAAAGGTTTTACCAGGAAGGTTGCTTTCATCAATAGCCAGTTATTGCTAAGGGCTAGCAGGCTGTACATAACAGTACAAATACAGGCAGTCACAGTTAATAAGACTCCAAAAAAGTGTTCAGATTCACTTTCATCTTATTCCAGGAATGTGTCTGGGACTGTATATAGAAGCTCATTCCACTTAGTTTTCAGAAACTGAGAAGCAAAACCCAATTAAGCTAGTCTGACAGATAATAACTGAGGAGAGGTGCAAACTCTGTCCTAACCACCTAGGAACAGCAGTAGAAACTTGCCCAGAGCTTCAGTATCTTCCCTAGGCCAGAATTCCTCACATTTTAGCGTTTAGATTCTAGAATATCTTTACTCAGCTTATAAAATGTTTGTTTTTTCTATCTTAGCACATTTTCTAGGGAAAGTTAAACAACTGGATTTGAAAAAAAAATATCCAACCCACACTTTGGAGGCGGCATTTGACATTTGAAACCATTGTTAATTTTACAGGCTTCTGTTTAGAAGTTTCTCAACTGAAGTTAATAAAATGTTAAACTCATTTCTAGTTAACGCAAAGAAAACTATGCAAAGTTACTTAACTGAGGATTTTGTCAAAAGAAATATTTAATTATTTTTATAGTAAACAGTACTTTCAGACAAACTGTTAAAAATACGTGAGTATGAAGCTTTTTGGTTGTTATATCTGTCCAGCAATTTTAAAGAATACACAAGGTCAAGGCTTTGCAAACTTTTTACCGCTGAGAATGCTCTCGGTAGCAGCTCCTGGCCTTGTTCCAGTTCAAATACTGTGACAAAATTGCCTAGCATATATTTGTGCTATATGTAACACAGTGTGGAAAGGGTTATATTAAGATCAAGAGATCAATTTTGCTTGGATATATGACCTGTTAGATCAGCTGACCAATGCTGTAGCAAACAAGGAATACACCACCACTCTAAGATGCAGGCAGTAATCTGTCATGGTTTTATTTTCATCAGTTTCCTTTTGTGTGTCTGTTTTAGAAACACGGAAAAATATGACCCCTGGAGTGGGATCAGTCTGGTTTGAAGACTTCTATCAACAGATCACCTCTGTTCATCTTTCTTATCAGATGTAACATAAAGATATACCTCCCTGCAGCTCAGTTCTCCTCATAGTAGTCTCTTATATAAAACACAAAATTTCCTTTCAGCTGGAATGGAAATTACAGTTTGGATTACGGAAATTCTTACACTTATGAGAGAGCATTTCAGGTATTTCTGTGTGTTTTACTTCTGTGAATTTTAAGATCAATGCAGAATTTTAAATCCCCTTTTGGAGCCTCTAAGACACTTGCTGTAATGTTAAGTACATTATTAACAATGTCAAAGAAGGCATTTTCTGTAATGCTGGTGCAGTCCAATATTGCTTGTACTGAGGCATGTTTGGCAGCTTGCCTCAACAAAAACTGAATCAGAGCCCAAGTGCCTCTTTCAATTGGCTGTATGTTTTTACTATAACCTTGTAAAGAATGTACAAAAACACACCTTATAATCTCTGCAGTTCTTTAATGACTGTGAAAACTTTAAAAACCAGGCTTATATGACCATTCCTGTTGACAAAACTGTATTTTTAAAATATCACTTGTTTCCCTGGTTACTGATTCGGTATTGTTCTAATTGGAACTGTCAGCAGGAGGGGCTAGTGAGGGGGGCAAAGGACACAGGTTCACAGGTGGTGACATTTTTGAGAAAATCAAGTTTTAATGGAGAAGAACCGTATCTTTAAGAAACAAGTTCATTTATCCTTTTTAAGCACTGTAACTTGATTAAATGCTCTTGTATGTTGAGGAGGTTGTTACACATACATTTAGGTTCTTTTTCACAGGCCTTCATACTTCTTTGCACACACACTGAATAACGCAGTCTCATTTTTAACAGCGGTGCCTTCAGCAGCCAAAAGCTCAGGTCAACGCCAATCGCGTGCTCCATGACAGAGCATTTACGGTATCTTCATCCTGCCACGTCCAATTATTAAAAATAAGTCGACATTAAAGGCTAATTTTAACATTTGAACTAAATTTTAACGACACATGCAAAGAAACTACCCAACACCATCACCTTCGCCGCTACCTCTCCAGCCACGGGGAGAAACCACGCCCTCTCCCTTCACCCACCGCGCAGGCGCAGCGGCAGGGGCAGGTCAGCGGGTGGAGGAGGCGGGGTTAACGGCTGCGGCCCTGGCGCCTGCGCACTGGCGCGGCTGTACGCCTCAGGGAGCGGGGACCCAGCAGTGGAGGTGACGGTAGCGGAGCACGGCAGTGGTGAGCCTTTTTCTCAGTCGCCATTTCGGGATTCCGTGAGGGGCATGTGCTGTTTCTTCGGGGGTTGTGTGGTTCTGTGTGACCTGAATGATGTCAGGGCCACGCAGCCGGCCGGCGGGACGAGGGATGCTCTAACTCTGGCTGGGCAGTGTGGGCCGCCCGTCAGCCCTGCCGGCCCGGGATCCAAACCTCTATTTCGGGATCCAAACCTCTGCTCGGAGTGCGCGCCCTGAGTTTGTGGGACAAAGTCGTCGCGGGGCATCCAGAGGGGACAAAACTAAACTGGGGAAAAACTACATTTTTTCCAGTCAATGTAGGAGAAGATATTTAACTAGAATATGTCTTCTGGAGTTACCGTTTTGGTGAGGTTTGAAACGTGAGTGATTTTCCTCTGATACATTAGGTTGTGCTGTGGTACTGGCTGTCAGGGTACTTAGTACTAGGCTTCACTAGTACTACCAGTATTTTATGGATAACAGAGTAACTTTACCTAGTGCTGTTGTACCCAGTTCTGTGTCCTTACAAATTATTTCTCTGTTTATTTAACAGTACTTATACACAAATGGCAATGATAAGTAAGGAATGTTATCAGCATAATTGAAGCATCAAACCCTTTGCATTTTACCTAGCCTTTCTAGCCATCTCTACCTGTTTAAGACCAAGACTGAAAGAGGCAAGGACCATTAAATCAGGATGATTGGAATGGGGCCCCATGGATCATGTTAATTGCACAGGGTTTTTTTAATAACTCTTTCAGTGCTGTTTTTTTCATAATAATTTATCTAATATTTATAAATCTGACTGTGTTACAAAACTGTTACCCAGATCATCACTTAAAAACTGAGTCACTTAAGTAGGAAATACCCAGAAGGCTTTTGGAAGGCCTAGGTCTCAAAAATGAAACAGACTTCCAAAATTCAGAATACCGTTGCGTCATTGAATGAATGTGTGGTCTGTTGGGGGTGTATCAGAAATAATGTATGATATGCTGATTTGTATTTCGTATTGCTTGTGAAGATAGAGATGCATAGAAGATAAGGTAGCTTGTATTTCTTCATAATACTTATGAATATAGAAGATACTGTGGCATCTTGAAACTTTCTCATGTAGCATCAAAACCATTTCATATTTATGTTTACAATAAACCCTAGAACAAAGCATGGAGAATAAAATACAGGAAGGATAAATATGGCATTTATGATACTAATCTTTTCATTTAAGATATTCAGTGTAGCTTAAACCATACTTAAAAATAGACTAAGCTGTAAGTCAGCAGTCGTCTACAATAAATTACAGTGAAGATTCTAGTAGTTTTAAGCAAAGAGGCCCTGAGCTATACACTGTATTTGAGAATGTGCTTCTGTGTAACGACACTATTGCTTTTCAGAGCCTTTATGTACATTGAGGTCAGTGTCTAAATGTAGAGTCTTGTATATGCATGTGTCTTTCAAGACTGAGGCTCTGTACTTGTTCATGTTTTTGTTATGCTTTTTTGATAATCACAAAATGTGGGGGAAGATGTGGTAACTTAGATTAAGCTTTTCATACTTTTTAAGTTAATTTTTCCAAAGCTAAAGAGAGGAGAAACTTTAATATTCCAGCAAAGAAAGACAGTGCAGCCCAGAATAAGGGGAGTGGAAAATTAGAATTTGTAAAAGAAAAAAAAATAAATAAAGTAGCCATAATAATTTTTGTGTTAATCTATTGTTTTGGTAGGCTGTACATCTAAGAAAAGATGGCAGATCCTTGGCAAGAATGTATGGATTATGCAGTTACTTTAGCAAGAAAAGCTGGGGAGGTAAGTATAAATGATTTACAAATAATAACATTTTCTGAGTCTAGTGTGTATACAGCTTTTGGAGGAGTTTGATGTTGGATATTCTTTGGTGGAGTAGTTTGTCGAAAAGATGAATTAGCAGAATCGTTCAGTGATATTCAAGATTGGAGTGTCTTTCATGTTTACAGCTTGGTTAATTTAAGAAAACAGCTGTGCACCTTTCTTTGGACAAAACTCTGATCAAAGACCAAGGAGTATCTTTTGTTCCTTAAATTTGATTTAAAAAAATAATTTTGAATTGTGGTAAACAAATAGCATCTCTATTTTTCCCCTTAAACTACACCTATCTACCATATTATTTTACTACCTGAAACCTGTTGGCAGTCTTTCTTGCGAACACCTCTCTCAACTAAAGAGTGATTTCTTGTTGGCACAAGATAGCATATCGTGTTTTCTTTATGAATACTGCTTTACTTCTGTAAATAAAAAGTATCCCTTTCCCATTTGTGATGCAAGATGGCTTAGAACAAGGAAGAGTTTGCGCATCTTGGCAGAGCCTCAGCATAAGAGCGGGTACCAAATGTTCAGTTCTTGGTAGCTCTGCGTGGAACATCTGAATGCTATTGCAGCCAGACAAGATGGCACATGTATGACTTTTCTCCCCTGAAGCTGCAGAATCTGCAGAGCATTGGCCCTGCAAGGACCTCATTAAAGTCTTCCCTCAGAAAATCTTTCGAAGTTATGGTAAAATGATGCTGTGGGCTGTGGGGCATGGATTCTTACTTAAGCTGATTCTGATAGTTTGAAGATCATAAAAAGGCTAAAAGTAGCTGACTTAAACTCAAGTCTTAAGTGTTTCATTCAACTCTGGTAAATTTATAAATCTGAAACTTGTCCTAACAAAATAGAGCTCAGTTTAGTGTACCAGTGAATCTTCTTGTACTACTTAGACTTTAAGATCATGTAAAAGTTAGTGCTGAGTAGGGACTGGAGATAAATGCAAGGGTAAGCCTCAGCTCTTGCAATTAAATCCGGGTTTTGTCACTGCTTAAGAATGTGTTGTGTGTGCAGCATAAAAAAGTAGAGTAGCAGTGATGCTTAAGCTTTTGGGAAAACTAATATTTTGGATACTGTTAATGGAGAAAGCTTTTTTTTTTTCCTTTTGTTAACAGATAATCCGCGGAGCACTCAAAGAAGAAGTATCTGTTATGACTAAAAGTTCACCAGTAGATCTTGTGACAGAAACTGATCAAAAAGTAGAAAACTTCCTTATTTCTTTGATAAAAGAAAAGTATCCTTCTCACAGGTATGGCTTCTTATCGATAATACTTTTGACAGAAGAAGGGGAGAGGTGACTGGAAGAAGAAAATGAGAAGTTTATGATTTTGACTGGTAAAATGTCATTACAATTGGCATGCTGGAAAGTTCTAGAATTCTCCCTTACCCTTAGTTGACTAATTATTTTAGAGTAGGAGTGGGTTGAAGTTCTGCCCAAATGCTTCCAAATTAATTGCTAGCTAATTTTGTCATTAGCTTAGAGGGTCCCCAGAGTCTACTGATGTGAGTTTAGCCTTGCTGAACGTTTATGCTGAAAGACATTTCCAGTTGAGCCAGCTGTAAATAATTTTGTGCTTATTTGTGTTGAAGAATCAAAGGTGGCCCCAAGATATCTGGAACCCAAATTTCTTGTCTGTTGTTGGCTGTTGAAACTAGCGTGCCTTCGCTGTCTATGCTGGGTGGGTCCCATGGTACTGAATGTGCCTTTGGCAAATCTCATACAGGTTAAGAAGTTCAAACAGCCTTAAAAGAAGACAGTTTCTTCTGATTCTGTATAACTGGAAGTCTGTCATACACAATACTGGTATTTTTAAATTGCTCTTCTGTTTTCCTGCCCCTCTGCCCCTCCTTCCCCTTGAAATAAATTTATTTTTGAAGGGTGAATTATATGTATTTTACTTACTTTTACCTATGTGGTACTTTCTTTCTCATTTTGACATAATGGCTCAAGTTTAATTCAGTTTCCTTAATGTAGGTTTTCTTGGAGATTTTCTTATTGTAGCTGTATATGTGAACCATAATAAATACGTATAGAATTGGACCAATTGAGGTGATGTAAAATGTCAGTAACCTAACCAAATTAGTGTAAGCATACAGACTTATGGAATGACCTTGAAATAACAGTTTCTGTGACAATGATAAACATTTTAGAATATTTTAGCTTCTTCTAATTTATAGGTAATTTATAAATTACCTAATATTTAGGTAATTTATATCATATTACACATACTGGTGTTGAATTTCTCTCTATAATTAATTACTCATCCACCTAATTAACTGTTCAGTCTCTCTCATGAAGACCCACTGCTTTTTAGAAACATGCTATTCTTTCTGAGCAATCATCCTTACTTCCATAGTTAATTATGAAACTCCTAATCAATATTAAAGGCACCTCATTTGTTTACTCTTGCAGTTTTCCTCATTTTACATGTTTTGGAGGAAAGTGTATGTTTGATGCATACTTTTCATGGGTTGAGTAATATGTGATAAATTTAACAACGTGCAAAAGACATAGGACAGAATTCTCTGGGAGGAGCTCTGGTTTGGATTTCATCCCTTTACCATGTTACCATTTTGATAATGCTTGTAAAACTGAACAGTTTGGAGAATAACAACTTTCTGTCATATTTGGGTTGAAGTCATACTACAAATTTAACAGTTACTGCAGTGGTCTAACCAGATGCATATGACCACAAAGGCTTTCCTCAGTTAAAACACGAGCTACAAATTAGTGGTTTGTAGTACAAATAAGCTTTAAGGTGTAAATAGCTACAAATATGCTGGCCAAAATGCTCTTGCTGGAAAAAATAATGAAAACTTCAGTGTTCTGAATGCTAAATTCCAGTAATGGATATTGAAATGTAAAGTTTTTTTTCCCACATACTGTGGTTATCTCTGACATCATAAATATTGATACAAGCTTGGTCAGAAGTGGTTGGTGCTTTCCAGATAAATTGTGTATTTCTCAGCTTTTTACATATGATCACTGATGGTACAAAATCCTGCATCTCACTTGAAGAATTTTAATTTCAAGGACAGCGTTCAATTTCAGACCTTTTAAAGAATTTCTTTGTATTGTTTAAATGTGTTTGCTACTCTAGTTTCATCGGAGAAGAATCTGTTGCAGCTGGAGAGGGCAGCATTTTGACAGATAACCCCACATGGATTATAGACCCTATTGATGGAACTACAAACTTTGTGCACAGGTCCACCTTTTTTTTTTTTTAATGTTAGCAACTTCAACTGATTACCCTTTTTCCATGAAAGTCAGGTTTGCTTTAAAAGAGTTACTATGAACGTGTTAATAACTAGAAATTGTTATTTGCATTTATTGAGAGCCATTGGGCAGTTTTTGTAATAATTTTCGTATTTCTGTATTACAGTAGTCTCACTCTGTAACCAACACCAGTTGTTCTACGAGAGGCCTGTACTATATAGCAGGAGTCAGCAGCCTTTGGCACAGGTGGGCAGATTTTAACAGCAAAGCAGCAGGACTCAGAATTAGGAGTTGCAGCATATTCAGAGAGCCAGTAACAGCTCCAAGTGCTGATTTCTAAGAAATTTCAAATTTACTGAGATCTACAAGCTACTATCATGAAAGAAAGCAGAATATCACCAGTGATTGTCTAGTGGTATTTTGCAACAGAGTGAGGAGGGAACTTTAATGGACACAAACTGGAACACAGGAGGTTCCACTTACCCTCACTGAGAAGAAGTTTCTTCTCAAAGTTAACAGCACTGGAACAGGCTGCCCAGAGAGGTTGTGGAGCCTCCTTCTCTGGAGACGTTCAAAACCCACCTGGACGCCTTCCTGTGCAACCTCATCTAGGTGTTCCTGCTCTGGCAGGGGGATTGGACTAGATGATCTTTTGAGGTCCCTTCCAATCCCTAACGTTCTGTGATTCTGTGATTCCAGTGTCATACTGACTGCCTGATCCTTCTGTCTTTGAAACGTGACAGATTTTGGCCCTGATGAGTTTTCTGAACATACTTGACTCCAATTTTGAAATGACTGCCACTCTGTGTGCCACTGCTTTAAACAGCTGCTGAATCCTGCTAAATAACATGTTCAAAAAGCTGTAAGAAAAGGACCCATTCTGCTAGATTTGCATACTTAAAAGTCTGTATGGTTTGCAGATGGTAATTAAAGTGATTGTTTTGGAACTGCAAATTTTGAAGAGTGAAAGATTTTATTTTTATTTTAAATTAATTGGTTGGCTGTTAAAAATTTAGACTGGGATGCAGCACACCATCTCCTATATACTCCCACTGCCTTCATTCTTTGCACTGCATTCTTCCTTCTCATTTCAATATCAGTCTTTCTCATTGCTTTGATGGAGAAAATGGAGGTAGGGTGAGAGGTGACTTGCTTCTCTTGATGAGATAATTTTGGCCAGCTTGTTCCTTCTGAGAAGAAGTTAGTAGCATAGAGACCTGCTTGTATTCTTTGGCTAGAAAATAAGTCTCTAAGCTAGTAACAGCTGTAACAGGGATGACAGTTCTTGAGCTGTAACAGACTTAGAGTGGAAAAGTTTGTATTTTAAATGGTAATAGGTGTTGTTTGGTGTACTTTCATAGTTAATTGTGCAAGTTCCAGAAACTAGTGTTTCCTATATAGTCCACGTTTCTTTTTGAGCTATTCATTACATTTAACTGAAAATTGTTTTTATTAAGAGTAAGCATGGTAATGAAAGAAGCATAGTATCTCACTATAAATTAGTGAAATGTTTTGTTTTGTAGGTTTCCATTTGTGGCAGTTTCAATTGGCTTTGTTGTTAACAAAAAGGTATACTTTTTATTACTTAATATCTAATCAACCCAAACCAAATTAATTCTTTGTTTTCAGTTATTACTAAGATCTGTATTTTCATAGTAAGTAGGAAGAAAGGGGAAAAAACCTCAAGGTATCTTTACTTTTTCTTGCAGATAGAGTTCGGAATTGTGTATAGTTGTATAGAAGACAAGATGTATACTGCCAGAAAAGGAAAAGGGGCATTTTGCAATGGTCAAAAACTGCAAGTATCAGGCCAAGAAGGTAAGCAGAATTGAGTAGCTTATTTCTAGTAATTACATTTATTTTGCAAATGAGTCATGAACAGTTCTAGACCTGCATATGTTCCTGTTTCTTAGCTCATAGTTTTGTTTTGTAAAGACAGGCTTTTTTTAGCTACGAGTTGTTCAGTTTTGAGAAGCAGCTTTTATGTTTTCTTTGATACCTATAACATGGTTGTGATTTTGCAAAATCGGGACTCGGCATTTGAAGATTTTATTCTCTGTGTATTGTGGGGGTTTTGTTTGTTTGTTTTTAATTCCCTATATGTCTGTAAATCCCTCTGTAGTTGTTCTTTAGAGTCTGTAACAAATCTACCAAACAGGTCAACTTCTTTGAGGTGTGAAGTAGTGGTTTAAATCAGTATCACTCTTACATACTTAGTACCCCATGTAAAGTAAAATCCACACTTGAAATTGGACCTTTAAAGATCTGAAGGCTGTTCTAATTTTTATAGCAGTATAATTTTATTTACTAAGGACACTGATTAATGTGTATGCACAATTGAACCAGGTGATGCTTTGTTTGCTCTATTTTAATTTTTCCTGCTGTTCTCCATGTAAGAAGAGATTTTTATACATTCAATATATGTAGTATTTATTTTTAAATACCTTACTTTTATTCAGTCTTGTAAGAAAGCAATGAAGTAAATTCTGCTAATTAATGTTACTATATAAGCTGTACTCTTGGAAAAGTGAGGGTTTTTTTCTTTTCCAGACATTAGAAAATCCCTTTTAGTAACAGAATTGGGATCAAATCGTGATCCAGAGACTATGAAAATAATTCTTTCTAACATGGAAAGACTTCTCAGTATTCCTATTCACGGGTAAGATACTTCCTATTTTTTATATTTATTGATAGTGTTAATATTGTAAATATGACCATGTTTAGGAAGAATTGGTTACATTACATTTGACACCATAAATACGAAATATGATTTAAATGTTTTTGTCTAGTAGCTTCTGCAGAGAATGTCTCTAAGTGTGTTTAACTTTTTCAAGCTGGGACATATATGAGAACCCTATTCCAGTACTGGCAATTGAAGCGTGTTTGGTTTTGTAGGACTAAAAATTATTGTATTTACTAGTTAAAAAAAATTAAATAAAATTTTGTCTCTTTTTTCCCTCTCTGAAACACACAAGGAGTAAAAGCTGGATAAACAGAAGCTATGTTACATTTCTTAGTTTCCTTTCCCTGTAATAGTGAAAATAGTTGTTGCTTTTTAAAATATATATATCAGTAGACAAAAGTAGATCTCCTTTTACTCTTTCAAGCTATACAATTTTTTTAAATCTGAGGAGTTGAATTATCCATAAACGGCTCTTACTTTGGTTACATTCCCTGCTTCCTTTTCTACAGATAAGCCAAAGCCTACATTTCCATAAACCATATTATGTTTAAAGGTGGTTTCAGTAGACAGTTTTTTGTTGTTCAACCCTACTCATGTTTCTGATCTAAAAGAGGTTGTAGTTTTATGCTGACATTCTCAGGATTCTTGTTTTGGCACTTAACATGTATATTTTTTGTACTTCAAAGAAGTCTTCTTATGTCATTAAAGAATATGTGCTAAATTGTTAGTAGGGAACACATTTTAGGTATGTTGTCAGTTCAACTTTGGTATTTTATCTGTAAACTGTAAATGAAGATTGGAGTTGACTTTAATTTGCTTCTTGCAGTTATTTAAGTGCTATCAGTTACAACTTAATGTACATTTTACTGATAATTGAAAAAACTACTATTATTAGTACAAGTAACACTTACTAAGTGCATTGACATTTCTAAAAGAAACTGGAATTTGTCACACAAGAGTTTTGATGTAGTTATCCACACCAAATTTATGCTCTGTAATTTATTTTTTGTGATTGCTGCTGTTAGGGTTTTTTGCAAATCAGAGATGCTTACTGAGCATCACCAGAAAAACTGAAGTAACGGTCTTTCCAATGCTGAGAACAGTGTATGCTTTACTTGAATTCTTGTATTCAAAGATCAAAGTAGAATATCTGTTATTGTTACATGGGTAGATAACGTCCATAATATGTTTTAGGTTAAGAAGTTGTTTAAGATGTACTTTCACTCTACAAAAATTGTTCAATAGAATTCATAAATGTTATTTATGGAAATTTGCTATATTCAGGGAGCTCTTCCAGCTGCTTAAGCAGAACTTGATTTCCAAATTTTTAATTGTTTCACTGCAGCATTCTATCTCGTTTTCTCCAGCTCAGTTCACTTTGCATATGATGCTTTTGTGTTCTCTGTGCAGTGTACACAGACACTGTGACTTTCTTTCAAACTATTGTGATTAAAACAACTACTATGTTTCCTTTAGGATCAGAGCGGTTGGTACAGCAGCTGTGAACATGTGCCTTGTGGCAACAGGTGGAGCTGATGCCTATTACGAAATGGGGATTCACTGCTGGGACATGGCAGGGGCTGGAATCATTATTACTGAGGCAGGAGGGGTGCTGCTCGATGTATCAGGTAAGGACGCAGGCATGCGTGATGCTCTTTTGTCCTTTTAAATAGCTAACTGGGAGCAAAACAGCTGAAGTGAGAAGGAAAAAAGGTTTTTCAATCCTCTTTCCAAGTTACCACTACTGAACAGAGTTCCCATCCAGTTAACAGACGAAGAGAGGGTCAATTGTATGTTTGTAAGCTGCAAGACAACCTTTACTCACTTGGCTGAACAGCTGGAAGAGGGGAAAAAAATACAGTAAATGTACTCTGAAGAGAATATAAATGTAGCTCATATGAGAGACCTGAGGTGTTAAATGCATTTTTATCTAGGGGCAGAACTTGGTCCCAAGTAGTACTGTATTGTTTACACTTGATTTTTTCAATGTTCATTTTCTTACCAACTTTTCTGTAGATGAAACCTAGTTACTTTGCTTGCTTTGGTTTCTAGGTGGACCATTTGATTTGATGTCTCGAAGAATAATTGCAGCAAGTAGTCAAGCTATAGGAGAGAGAATAGCCAAAGCACTTCAAGTAATTCCTCTGAAAAGGGATGATGCAACTAACTGAATACCAAAACTACACCTTAAATGTAATTATATAATGTTGTCTCATATTCCCGTATGGTGGTGGTTCTACACCTTGAACCTGATTAAAAGACAGATAAATAGATGATAGTCCTTCAGTACTGGTGTGACTGCTATGTAGTGTTTTGAGAGTGGACCAACTTTCTAAGTAAGCTTTCACTGTTAAGTATTTTATTTAACATCATGCTTACATAAAGATCTGTAGAAAGAAGCAAGTATATGCAGTTACTATTTTCAAGTTTTATACCACACTGCAGGGCATACCAAGAGACTCTGATGTATAGATAAATAAAAATCTCTAGTTCTGTAAGCAACAAAACAAAATTCACTGTCTTAACACATCATCATATTTGATCCTGAAGCCGAAAAGATGAAGATATTACTGTTCATTCAGTCTTTCGCAATATTATCTGTTGTTTTCTTCAATGTCATGGATTTCCTTACCATGCTATATTTTTTTTGTAGAAGTAGTTCACACATGTCCAAACTTTTTTTTAGTTGCTTGTAGTTTGGGCTCTAATTTAGAGCCTTTACTATTTATCTGTCATTATTATTTTAGTCATTGTTCTACCTTCCTTATGGTAGATAAACACAATCTTGTCTTTAGCCTCTTATGTGGCCAGTACACTTGCAAATTCATTACAGTTGCAAAAATAATAGTTATTGTGCCATAATATACATGCAACTCGCAGAAATAATTTCTGAGCACACCTGTCACCAAATAGACTCACTTAAGATGCAGTTTGATTTGCATTTGACCATTGAAATCAGCTGATACTAGGTACTCTATCTTATTTTTGGCAGTTATAATTCCTGTTCATTTTGCTTGGGTTTCTCCATGGATGAGTGTGTTTAAAAGTCTGAGGAATCATTCATCCAAGAGAGTTTTCAGTAGCTCAGCTAGCAAAACAAAAATAAGCCCGTAGTCCAGACTTCTTACATAATTTTCTGTAAGTTATGAAAGCAGTGACCAAGCAGGATCAGGTTTCCATTGTGTTACAGAGTCTACAGGCACAAAAGAAGATACATATCTAAATGGTTTATAAATCTAATAAATACTGATAATTTGTGGTGTCAGTTCTAAACTTCAAAAACTGTAATGGTTCTTTGAATTTTTGTATTTAAGATTGTTAAAAGTATTAGTGTAATGTTGAAATAATTAATGCACTTTAAAAACAGATTTAACTTAGAGCAGTGTTTAGACTGAGTTTTCTGTGTCTAAAGTTTACTAAAGAAAGTTGTCTCACTGTAGTCCACTCAAGACACAGCAATGCTTTGGAAAACCTGACTTTTTGTACTGCTGTCCTACCTTTTTTATTTTGGAAAATGATGTTCTCTGTCTTGAAGTTTCAACAGATCTCTTATTACAAATTTCAGTCTTCTATATCAGTTCATTTTTGCAGATTTTGCTGAAATACTTAATTTGAAGTTTGTATCTAATGCCAGCTGATCAACATTAATGAGACCAGCCTGCTATTTAAAGGTCTTGTCAAAAAGCCAGACTTACGTTAATTTTACTTTTTAAATTTCCTTTGACAAGGATAGAAACATTTTGAGCATTTTACTGTAACTTTATTGCTGTAAATGATGTGGGATCATCATTATTTCTTGAGAAGTATGTCTACTGTACCATTTCTATGGCTTTTGTATAACAAATTCTGCTTATCTTTTTAAAACTGATTTATTTGTGAAATGGAGACATGTCTAAAAAATACTTGAGATGGGAGAACACACTTAAAATAAATATGCTTTAGCAGCTTCGGCTTCAGATGTGCTTCCTTAATGTTCATCAGAGTACAATGCTGGGTCCCAACAAAAGCTGTATTTGTGGGCTTGAAACTTTCTCCGAGTTGAACACTTTCTCTTCTTGGTCTCTGATGTAAGTAGGACATAAAGTGTTGTGTCTTTATAGTGGGATTATGTATACACCTGCAGTAGCTTTTGAGAGTAAATATTCCAACACTTTCCAATGAGATCATGGTGCATTAATCATCTCCAACCTTAGAGCTCAAACTTTACAGATTATTTTGCCTGTGATTTGTTTTGGAGGCCCCTCAGCTGCATGAAGCATGTAGCTTTCTCACTCTTAGCTTTTGTAATAACATTCTTTGAGGAAAAATTTATATGAATTTCCCATCTTGGCCCTCTCACTCTGTGTTGGAGACCAGCCTAGTTTTTCTTCTTATACTCTATAAATGGCAGCTTTTATTAGTTGTCTGTTTTCTTTTTAAGTTCAGTCTCCTTTTCAATGGGATCAGAAACCCTTGTTTGCTACTTTGCTAAGCATTATTTTCTCAGATAACTCTTCATGTAATATGTGGCCACTTTTTTCATCATGTGAAGGCACACTGAAATGTAAATATTAAATTTAAAGGCATTTTCTTTTTGATTCTGTGCTAGCTTGCAATTGTGGTAAATTTTTGCAGTAAGTGTTATTTGTAGTAAAACAGAAGCTGTAATTGCTGTGTAATCAAAATACTTTTGAGAGATTATAATCTGAGAAGTAGTGCCTAAATGTTCAATAAAATACCTGATACTGTTGCTTAGAAAGATGGAGTGATAATCATCTTAGATTTTTGGATACTTTGACATAAAGTTATATATTTACAAGATAGCTTTTGCCGAGCAATGAGACAATTGGAAAGCAAAACCCATATTCCTCATGAAGACATCAACAGTCCAGTATACAGGACACTTTCTTACATGGCTTTTCAGTGAAGATGCTCATGACCTCAGCTGGCCGATTCTACTGTGCTTTGAATCTCAACTCTGAGTGGGCAACACTCAAAGCTTACAAGTGCAAGGAGGAGGAGATCCAGGGGACTTGTTCAGCAACTGGAGCAGGTGAAAAATTCCAAGAAATATTACTGGAAATTAAAGGACCATGTGGCCAAATTTAACCAGTCCCTTCATCTTTACTTTGAAAATTTGAAAGGTCAGCATAATCACTATGGTTGTTACAGAGCCTACTGTTATTCTTAACCAAGGTCTTCAGAAAAGGGATACTGGTTTTTAGCTCGAAACTAAAACAATTGGTACTGCAAAATTAGGTAATAATGATTTTTAGCACTGGTACATATGAAAAGGGACATAGTTTTAGCCTGGCTATCCTCCTTGTTCAGTAGCCCTCTCTGTTTATTGATTTGCTCATAGTTTGTGATTGATTGGTTGGTTTTTTTTTTAAAAATTTGCTCCTTCTTCAAAGCAGGGTGTTCCAGTAGATTCAATCCTTCAGGGTTTTTCCCGGTGTGAAATGCTGACAAAGACCAAGTTATATAAAGTTTCAGGCTGTCGCCCAGCCCTGTTAAGCAGCTCTGCAGAAAAGCCCTCCCTTGCCCACCCCTGCCAGTGAAATATGGACTATTCCTTATAATATCTGTGGCCCAAAGCTAGAGTTTTAATTCTTAGTAGTCTAAAGCCTTGCTGTGAACTAAGCATTCTGACTAGATATAAAACATCAAGCTGTCGCCTCAGTCTGAAGCAATTTAAATAAAGGAGTCCTTTCTTTTCCTGAGCTTCTTCCCATCCTGCTAATTCAGCTCTATTCATTACCTGTAAGTGAAGGAACTGTTTCACAACCAATCCTGTCGCTAAAGTGCTGACAGGCAGCTTTCCAACAGCACATTGTTTTGGGATCTCCAGCAGTTGGCATGGCTTCCTTTGTTTGCACAAACTCCAAAGGACAGTGTCAGTGATGTGACACCTCGAGTCCCTGCCAGAGCAAGTCAGCCAGATCTCCAGGACAACATAATCCATTAGATCTCTGAATTACTGCTTGACCTGTGCCAAAAGTGACAGTGAACATAGTCTGTCACGTAACTCTTTGGTTTGTACAATCTTCACACAGATCCACAGCTTCCCAAAGATCAGCAGGAGCTTCTGAAATGTCCTCTGTGCCCACTCTGTGCTCTCTGCTAGCTACAACAACAGAGCAAACAAAATCTGACACATTTCAAAGCCATGCACAGCATTTGGAACAAGCAAACTGGAGGAGTGCACTCAGCTGAGAGCATATCATCCCACTGTATTAAAGAGCTACAAACTCTTGCCTGTTAGAGGAGGATGGATTTGATCTCCCACGGTAGAGGAGAAGTAGTTTCCCAGCACAATTTAAGCTAGTGAGATGCTAAAAATAATGGGGAGTGTGTGTCCTGTCCCAGAAGCTTCTAGCCGATGCTGATGACTGCAACGTTAGCTTGAGTTTACACAGAAATTATTCTCCCTACACCAATATTGCTTTAGTTAGGAATCAGGCCTGCTGTACACCCATTGTGTGAAGTGAAAGGTAAAGAAGCCCAGAATACAACAGCAACCACTGAACCGCAGCAGTGGTGAAGAACAGAAGCGTACCCCCTTTTCATTGCCATGGAAGATCAAAATTTGTTTTGTTATGCCTGTCCTTAGCTCAGTAGAGACCACACTTTCAGCCACGTAAAGCAGTCAATTCAGAGGAAGCGATGTGCTACCTCAAATACTTGAGAACTAATTCATGGGAGCTCTTCATCAACTTGCTATGTTAAACCTCCCTCCTCCGCTGTCCCTTGCAGAGGTGGTTTCTGTGCTGTTTGTCCTGCCTGTGAACGCAGTTCAAGCTCAGAGAAGAATCGTGCAGACCTAAACCATGCCCTGCACCGCACCCTTGCCTGACAAAACACTAGATGGCAGCCGGAGCCAAGAAAACACCAGCAGGCCCAGGGTTCTTTTTTTATAGCCAAGATTTGCGTTTCCACTCTGTCCTCCCACCCTCTTTCTGCTCTCCGTAATTATTGTTGGATATAACTAAGAGCACATCTGAGAATTATTCAAAAGAATTATACCACAAATTTTTGAGGACTTGGGCTGTGTTTCTGTGACTTGATAAGAAATTTGAAACAGGACTTGTGTTAGCAGCATTAACTTTCCCTCCTTTTCAATGCAAGTTTATTGAAGATTGTGGTACCTATCTGAATTCTAAATTAAAATATAAAAGCCATACAAATGACC